CAAGAGCCCAACCTGTCTGTGGACCCCGCTAGCAAGCTGACCGAGCCGCTGCCGTCAAACGGAACGCCCAAACCGTATCACAACACACCTAAGACCGTGCTGCAGAGTGTGGCGGCTGACGTTTGCGTCCCTGTGACGCTCATCCCCGTCCAGATGACTGAGGAAAGCCATCTTGCCGTGCACGGGACTGTGAGCCAGCAACAGCAGACAGGCTACCAGTCCGCCACTGACCTGGTGTTCTTAGAAAAGTACACCCTCACGCCTCAGCCGACCAACATTGTGCATCCGGTGCGGCCCGAGCAGATGCTGGACCCTCGAGAGCAGTCTTACCTGGGAACGCTCCTGGGACTGGACTCGGCTACAGCTGTGCAAAACATGTCTAGTGCTGAACATACGCATTAATGCGTCACATGAATTCATTTTGGTCATCAGTCTTTGTGCTGTTCTTAAAGGAACACTCCACTATTTTTGAAAATAGGCTAATTTTCCAACTCCCCTAGAGTTAAACAGTTGAGTTTTACCGTTTTCGAATCCATTCAGCCGATCTCTGGGTCTGGCGGTAGCACTTTTAGCTGTAGCTTAGCATAGATCATTGAATCTGATTAGACCGTTAGCATCTCGCTCAAAAATGACCAAAGAGTTTCTATATTTTTCCTATTTAAAACTTGACTCTTCTGTAGTTACATCGTGTACTGAGACCGACAGAAAATGAAAAGTTCCGATATGGCTAGGAACTATACTCTCATTCCGGCGTAAGTGAATGAATAATAGTTTCTGAATTCACCAGCCCAGACCAAAGTTTGCTTGTGTTTCTGTAAATAAAGCACTCTGGAACACTGAGTTCAGGAAGTTATTTCATACTGCTTGTTACAGGCTTGTTTTTGTCCGGGTGTTCAGTCACATGGTGGGATGTTGGGAAAAAAAAGTTAAAACGTTTTAGACACAACAATTTCAAACCATTTTTATACTGTTAACTGGTTCGAGTTGTTATATCTGTTTAACCATGTAAAGCCAGACAAATAACAGTAAGAACAAATTAGATTTTTTTTTTTTTTTTAAATGGAACAGTTTATTTTACCTTCATACAAAATCTTTAAAAAAAAAGCATGAATGCATATGCATTTTTTTGTTGTTGTTGAGTATCACATTTAATGCATCAGGCTTTTATGGTTCATACAGTATGATATAGTAGAATATGATGGTCATAACAAGGAAAAACCGGTTTTATGACTTTTATGATTTAGAGATGAACTAATAAACATTCCTCAAAAGCCTGATGTGTGACATTTAATATCTGATTTTCTAAATAATGATAAATGTATAATCCGGTAAGCCTAAGTTGATTCAGTCCCGTAGTTGTTCATCTTAAAATATAACAATATATCAACAGAAGGATAGTAGATTGTGTACAACAGATGTTTGTTTTTTTGATCATGTTGATAATTTAGAGGCCCAAGAAATATGATACCGCACACAAGATGATTTTAATATAGCACTTTTGTTCTGTTGTCTTTCTGCAATGAGCTGTTGTTTGAGATGTACAGTAAGATGTACAGTAAGGTCGGCAGAAGGCCAGAGCTAATGAGTACAATATTTGGCCATTTCATTTGATGTGTCACACTGCCTCCCTGTGGTCAAACACCAACAGCTCTTATTCAACACAGTTTGGATTCTCCAACTTTTTGATTTGAAGCAAGGAAGCAACCTTAATTCATTTGAAATGTTTCATTAATTAACCATGTTTCAGTTGATGATTCCAGAAGTTATGTTCTATATCGATATTACCTTTATTGAAGTATGTTCTTCAATGTAAACAATAGTTATTGAGGGAAAATAAAAAGAAATGTGATTTCAGTTTAATTTTTGGATTAGATTTTGATTATTTTAATATATATTAAAATACTTTAATAAGTCATCCTGTAGCCCCTGGGAAGTTTGCTGAGGCCTCCTAGTGGACCCCGGCCCCACAAAACTGAAAAAGCAGAGCAACAGGAACGTTTATCATTTGTAGGGCCTGTCACCAATCCACCGTTTCTTTCTCACTACGTAAAGAAAGATTGTATTGTTCTGCCCCAAATAAGACAGTGTGGAAGCAGCAGTAACATGTTCCACATTGACTTGTTTGGCCGCTATTGCGTCTCAGGTGAAGTACATGACCATGAGTCCTGTACTGGAGTTTGCTCTGTATGGTATTTGTCTGTATATTATTTTTCTCACCTTTTGGATCAGAGGTTAAAATGGTTAAATGTTTCCATTCCAATCATCTGCACTCTGTGTGTCTTCTCTGTTGCCGTCTGTCCGTTTCATTTGGTCTCAGTTGTGCTTGTCATCTTTCCATTTCACTATGGATTTATAGGCAAGAAATGATTAGGTGTTTGTTTTGAAAAGTGAGCTTCTCTGATTGAAAGTTGCCATCCAAAGCACATATATAGGCCTACCTATGAATGCCATATATAGTAGGATAAGTTGATATTAGTTGAAGCAACTTCCCATTAGTTGCCCAAAATCCATCGGAAACATCTTCAGATGCTATTTTTAGGGTGTTCTTATGCCTTTCTGATCTGCCATGGGAAATTACAACCCTGTGCATGTGTTTTGTACTAAAGTTTTATTTATCTGTATATTATTTCTCACCTTTGGATCACATGTTAAAATGATTCAAGGTTTCCATTTGGATCATCTGCACTCCCGGTGTCCTTACTGTTGCTGACTGTCCTCAATTTTGTGACTTACCTTCATTTCGTGGGTTTATGTTTTGTTTTTGAGATACCTTCCATTTTTGGCCCAAAAAAAAGAAATGGGGTGTTATTTGTTTGGTTTCCATTCCGTGACGCTAGTTTAAAAGTGAGTTTCTCCGTCTGATGGTTGGCAACAATAGCATTGAGGGAAAATGAATACCTATGAATACGAGTCTATCATTAGCAAAATATCCAATATTCATCAGAAACATCTCCAGATGCTCCTTCAAGGGCTGTGGAGTTGTTTTTCTGATCTGCGGTGAAGAATGAAGCACAAGCCAATTTAGATATTTCCATTAGAAGTGTCTATGTGCTAGTCGTTTTTGTATTTACAGAGCAAACTCCAGTAAACCCAAAAGAACTACATGGTCGTGTTCATTTCCTCCACCCGAGATGCAGCCGAACAAGTCTTTGGAAAATACTAGACAGACAATTTATGTCGCTTATTAACAAACATTACACAACCCTAGTAATAATTAATTTACATATTTTCTAGAAACTAATGCAGTCATAAACAGATATATACACTTTGACATAATTCCTGACCTATGGAATTATGTAATGAAATAGGGTTAAAGGATATAAAAAAGGATATTCAGTACGAGTTCAAAAGGTAATAAAGCCTATTTGATTTGACATCCTAACGCTGCATAATTAGATAAAAAGCACTGTTGTGGGAGAGTTAATGCAGAAACTGAATATATTACATTTTTATACTCATCTAAACACCTGTAATTTACTGTTATTCAGAAAACATTAAAAGTAGTTACTGAAGGCTAATATGTAAAGACTTTCAAATCAAATTTTCCCAAACGAATACCAAAGCTACCATTCAGTACTTGAAAGACAACCTTTTAAAGCTCTTAAAAGGTTGGTGAATATTAGCCGACGAACAATAGAAGCAGATGTGGACAGGGACACAAACTCAGAAACATCTGGATTCCAGATGAAGACGAGAACCTTCACATTCCACAAGCTGAACCCATAAAACACACACAGACACAAGTGTACTCCAAGCATGTCACAATAAAACTATATTTATAAATTAAAAAAAAGAAATCTCCTTAACATGGTACTTCAAAAATTCTCCCAATACAATATTGCTGACAAACACTGAAAAATATATTCTCAGTAAAAACAAGTTCCATGAATAATGAAATATCTGCACGAGACATTTACTGAGAGTAAAAAATTTAAAAAAGGGCAAAAAAAGTTAAGAACCTCCAAATACGCGCTAAACAAGGGCAACAGAAATTTGGAAATTTGACATTTACGTCCTTGGTTGGACTACATTCACCTTGAATCCTCACACCCATATAGTGTTGTAACTAAATCCCATTCAATTATTGCTATTTCTCTCAAAATCTCTCTTTTTTTGTCCCATTTTTTTTCTTTGCTCCAACCGCACATTTCCCTTCCAAATTCCAGTGATGAAGATTAATAGACATGTGACACTTGACCCAATGAATGAATGAAAACGGAGTAAAAACTAAAACTAAATATTAATCAATCGAGCAACACTAAACATACTAAGTGCTCGGTCCCTAAATGTGTCCTGAATTTTGACGGTTTATAATACTGTTGATAACTCACTGCACAAAACGCGTTGTGGTTGACGCAAATCAACTTCAAACTTGTTGCCTGTGAATCTGAATTTAATGTAGCATGGATTGTATTTTCTTTTACTTTGTGTAGTTTTGTTAGTTTTCAAGGATGAGGGTCATGTCCTTGTTGATATCATTATAATTTGACTAGCTTTTAACTTGTGACAATTTGGCGCCAAAAATCTTTTTCTCCTCACTTCAAAAGGTAATAAAGCCTATTTGATTTGACATCCTAACGCTGCATAATTAGATAAAAAGCACTGTTGTGGGAGAGTTAATGCAGAAACTGAATATATTACATTTTTATACTCATCTAAACACCTGTAATTTACTGTTATTCAGAAAACATTAAAAGTAGTTACTGAAGGCTAATATGTAAAGACTTTCAAATCAAATTTTCCCAAACGAATACCAAAGCTACCATTCAGTACTTGAAAGACAACCTTTTAAAGCTCTTAAAAGGTTGGTGAATATTAGCCGACGAACAATAGAAGCAGATGTGGACAGGGACACAAACTCAGAAACATCTGGATTCCAGATGAAGACGAGAACCTTCACATTCCACAAGCTGAACCCATAAAACACACACAGACAAAAGAGTACTCCAAGCATGTCACAATAAAACTATATTTATAAATTAAAAAAAGAAATCTCCTTAACAAGGTACTTCAAAAATCCTCCCAATACAATATTGCTGACAAACACTGAAAAATATATTCTCAGTAAAAACAAGTTCCATGAATAATGAAATATCTGCACGAGACATTTACTGAGAGTAAAAAATTTAAAAAAGGGCAAAAAAAGTTAAGAACCTCCAAATACGCGCTAAACAAGGGCAACAGAAATTTGGAAATTTGACATTTACGTCCTTGGTTGGACTACATTCACCTTGAATCCTCACACCCATATAGTGTTGTAACTAAATCCCATTCAATTATTGCTATTTCTCTCAAAATCTCTCTTTTTTTGTCCCATTTTTTTTCTTTGCTCCAACCGCACATTTCCCAAATATTTTGAGGTGATATTGTACATTTAGTAAAACGTCTTAATCTGTTATTGTAAGCATGAATTCTTTGCTTATGCTTTAGTAGACTAATTTCTAAGACCTAAGTGATGTTGGGGCTCACAAGCTACTGAATTTTAGGTCAGCACTAATCCTAATTCTAATTGGCTGCACTAGTAGGCCACGTTTTTTTTTTGTAATTCATAAGGCAAAAAACAGTCTGGGCACTTCTGCTCGCAACAGTCACATGATGTCGACGAAGAACTCCCCATTGGCTGTGTTGCACGAGCGTCGGGAGCCCGTGAGTTCGGGGGGGATGCTGGCGAGGTGGCGGCCGGACAGCGACCCCGGGCCGGCTCGTGCAGATCCCTGCTTCAGGCTGTAGCTGTGAGATCGTGAGCTGCGCACGCTGCCCTCGCTGGGCGGCACCGAGCGCTCGCTGGGGGCTCTGTCTCTGCGGAAGTCAAAGTCATGAGCGTCGACCATTTCGCTTCCTCCTCCTAACCTGAAGTCTCCAGCTGGGGTTTTCCCCTCAGTCCTGCTCCAGCTGCAGTTTGAACCGCTGCTCCCTACGGACAGTAACGTTAACGTGAGTGAGCCGCTGTTTGAGATTGTGAGCATTAGGGCTGCCCCCTAATAGTCGACTAACCGTTAATCGACCAGAAGTGGCTTGGTCGACCAAAATTTTATTAGTTGCTTAGTCTAATAAATTTTTTTTTTAAAAAGTCATGCAGTCCACGACGGACAGATTGTTAACGGCTCGGTCTATGGTACAGAACATTGAGCAGGACGCTCACATATCATTAATCGACTCAAATATGGCTTTTCATCTGAAATACGTACGTATTAGCAACTTTACATGGCCGCTCAATCTAATGTTAACCTAGAGAAATGTGCGCCGTTCAAGTGTCTGTGCGGAGTGTGTTAGCTGAACAGTAGCTCACTGCAGGACAGATGAAGGCGCTGGTGTGCTCACTTGCTCTTAAAATACTCCTTCATACAGATACATACAGATAAGAGTAATACATCTTTCGAATCTGTAAAGACTCAACGTTTAGTTGTGTGCACTCACAATAACAACAACAAAAAAAAAACGCGCTTTTGTAAAATAATGAAAGCAAACCGGATGTGCTTTCTGCCATCTCGGTCTCTGTGAACTTGAGCGCGAAACTCCGAAACTCTGTGTATACTTGCCTTACAGACATGAAAAATATATCTATAGAGCGCGAAATGTCTACTTTCAAATGAACCAATTCAAATGGAAAACAAATATTCTCAGATTATGTAATCCATATGAAACATGCATACAGGCGCATCCACTACTGCGGAGATGATGAGTCAGCGTCGCCGACTTCATCTCTTAAACCGAAAGCACTAATTTATCAAAAAATTATTGCAGCCTCCTTACTGTTTTTCACTGATACATTCATAATCCTTACTTCTGCCGGTGTGCTGTGGCAAGCTTTATGCATGTGCTTCAGTGTTTATTAGGCTAGGCAATTAAAGGCGCATTATAATGATTTAAATGGTTTATTAATAAATGTGCGATTAGTCAACTAATGCTTAAAATGACGACTACTAGTCGACCAGAAAAATCAGTAGTCGAGGGCAGCCCTAGTCAGCAGTGTGATTTGAGGTGACTCACCTTCGCTGTGCTGGCTGCCCGCGCTGCCTCCACCGGCTTCAGAGTAGCTGTGAGCTGCATCCGGGAGGGAATGGGCTGGTGGGTACTGGTAAGGGAACGCGGTGGGCCAGGGAGCTTCAGCAGGGTGAAGCAATGGAGCGAGAGTGTCCTGATCAGACGCCCCGCTGGATCCGTCATGCTCATGCAGTGAAAGATGGGCCATGTCTACAACAAAACATAGTCAACGTTGATAAGAGTGTCAGCACAATGTAAAACTGAATGTACAGTGACTATTTCGTTAACGAAAAATATTTGCTGATGACCATTTAAGTTGAAATGACAATGACATCATTAAAACCTCTGACTATATCAACTTGCATTATTGTTGACCAAAAAAAAAAAAAAAAAGATGTTAACACTTTCTTAAACCAAATAAAGAGGAGAAAAAAATATCAACCTCAACATGTTTCCATGCTTGGGGTTGCCAAATGTCAAGAGTTTAAATCCCCCTATCAGAGCTTCTCTCTTAAAAAGGACACATTTTCCGCCCTGTGTTCTTCTTTATCTTCACAACCTGGCAACGGTTCATTCTCTCTTACACTACGGAAAAAGCACTGATGATATGGAAACGTCGACAAACTTGTATGTTGAGTTTAGTGATCAACAATCGAAATATTCTGCTGAAATGAAAGTATTTTTTGTTGTTTTAATAGAAAGACATGAATATAATTTGGAATTATTGGAATTAATATTAGGAATGTCTGTTTAAGCTTTACTGGTTTTCATAATGAAGAGACTGTGCTTATATTTATGATAATGTAACAAATCAGAAAACTAGATTTGGTGAAATAAACCATGTGTATGATTATAGATGAAAGTGGAATTCTCCGTTTTTAGCTTTTGAGAGAAGTTTTGAGTTTTACCAGTTTTCATAGACTGTGGTTATATTTATGATAATGAATCAGGAAACTAGATTATGTAAAATAAACCACGTGTATGATTAAAGATAAAAGTGGAATTAATATTAGGAATGTCACTGTTTTAGTTTTTGAGAGAAGCTTTTGAGCTTTACCAGTTTTTATAATGTAGAGACTGTGCTTATATTTATGATAATATAATAAATCCGTAAACTAGATAAGGTAAAATAAACCATGTGTATGACTATAGGTGAAAGTAGGGCTGGGCGATATAGCTAAAAAATGTATCAACGATATAATGTTTCATATCGTTCGGTATCGATAATTATTGAAATTTTTTATAACCTTTTGTAAAACAAAAAGCGCGACCCCGGGCCGGCTCGTGCAGATCCCTGCTTCAGGCTGTAGCTGTGAGATCGTGAGCTGCGCACGCTGCCCTCGCTGGGCGGCACCGAGCGCTCGCTGGGGGCTCTGTCTCTGCGGAAGTCAAAGTCATGAGCGTCGACCATTTCGCTTCCTCCTCCTAACCTGAAGTCTCCAGCTGGGGTTTTCCCCTCAGTCCTGCTCCAGCTGCAGTTTGAACCGCTGCTCCCTACGGACAGTAACGTTAACGTGAGTGAGCCGCTGTTTGAGATTGTGAGCATTAGGGCTGCCCCCTAATAGTCGACTAACCGTTAATCGACCAGAAGTGGCTTGGTCGACCAAAATTTTATTAGTTGCTTAGTCTAATAAATTTTTTTTTTAAAAAGTCATGCAGTCCACGACGGACAGATTGTTAACGGCTCGGTCTATGGTACAGAACATTGAGCAGGACGCTCACATATCATTAATCGACTCAAATATGGCTTTTCATCTGAAATACGTACGTATTAGCAACTTTACATGGCCGCTCAATCTAATGTTAACCTAGAGAAATGTGCGCCGTTCAAGTGTCTGTGCGGAGTGTGTTAGCTGAACAGTAGCTCACTGCAGGACAGATGAAGGCGCTGGTGTGCTCACTTGCTCTTAAAATACTCCTTCATACAGATACATACAGATAAGAGTAATACATCTTTCGAATCTGTAAAGACTCAACGTT